ACACACACACACACACACACACACACACACACACACACACACACACACACACACACACACACTTCAGCAGAGGCCACGCCTCCAACAAGAATCGCTTCTCTATGGCCATGAGTCCAGACCCTCGTACAAAGCAAAGTGAAGGACAATGGGCTGGTTTTTACCAGRTTAATGCACATCCCTCATTGGAACTGTACCGTTTTGTTGACATGACTCAGTGCATAGTAATGGCACCTATAGTGGCACGTTATTAGCTATAGCAGCTATAAGCGATGTCCAATACAGTAATACAGAACAATGACTCCTGTCACTGAAGGTGCACCTGGAGCAGCCATCTATTCTGAGCTTGGACATAGGAGTATTGCACACAGGTTCTTTAACACAGTATAATTACTGTAACAGCAGAGGAACTCAGATGTTTGGTAGAATGTTGATACATGGTACTGGTGTTACATGTTGAATGAGCAGTTGAAACAAACTTGAGACAACATCAAGTTAAAGAACAATCTTTATAAAGTTTTAACTTCAACTAAAGTTAATAATTAATGCCACTAAGTTATTACTTAGTTTGAGAAAATCCAATGAGGATTTTGAGGACAAGGTAGCTGCAGAATCAGAAGCACCCAGCCCAAAACATCTGATCATCAACCAACAATTATTATGAAAGATACAAACAGTTGAAAAAAAACCTTATCTCACCTGGTTAAGGTTTTCAGCTCCATCTTTTTCTTGGTTCCCCAGCTGATGATGAGGAACGTTTTCTGTATCAACAAACACCTTCAAGTGAACATATGCTATTCATGTATTGCATGACAATACAGTACGGATGCTATCACAGTTTACACAGGAACAATTTGAATACTGATAAATAATTATAAGAATTTGACTTTACTTCATTTAAAGCTGTGTTACTTCAGCATATAACAATCAGACTCAAGCAAACACTGAAATTTCCTATTGAACCTTCTAAATGGATTTATTTATTGTTTCTAACTTCTTGGGAAGCAATAACAAAGAAATATCATCACATTAGACAAACCCTGACAGAGAGGTGGAATGGCTCACTAAAATCTAAAAAGATACTCATAAAACATGTCATTTTATAGAAGAATGTGTGTTATCGTATAAAGTGAAGTGTTTCATCCAGTCAAAAGTAAAATATACATCTTTTTAAAATGGCATTGACCAAGCTATAGATACTATACAGTAAGAACCTGACACCAGATTCTGTTCTCTGTATGTCTTTTTAAACAGGGAGAGTAGAGGTTGCAGGAAGACAAATGAAGCTGTTCTCACTCTGACCTGGAATCTTGTCCGTCTCTGACGATTGTTTGCTCAACTTTGCGTTTGAAGCCTCTTTTTTACTGATTTTTGTAGCAGCTTTCAGGTTCCTCTTGTTTTTAATCGCACAACTAGTTTCATAGGAATAAAAGAAAAGAGAAAAAAAGATAAGAAAACAACAGCTATTTTTTACAGAACAAATCTTTAGTTGAAAGCCTTACTGAGGTGGCATGTAGTCTTCATCATCACTGTCATCTTGGCAACATTCTTCATCCGCCGTCTCCTCTTCGTCTGAAACCTCTGCTGTTTCCTCGACCGGGGCACACACCCTGTCATCTGCCTGATCGATACTGTTTAAAAAGGTCAAACCATCACACCCYGACACTCATCACATCCCACAGGAACCAGGTGAAGCCCATTAATATCACTTACTCTGAGTCAAGGCTGACGTCACTTTCATCAATGTTTACAACTATCTCCATTGGTGACAGTCTGACAAGAAAATTATTTTAAATAAAGATTAGGGTGCAAATTTCTGACAAGCATTTTRTAATTTTTGTTTAAAAAGCAAGTTTTCATGTATGTCTGTCTGCAACCTTGTTTAGAAATCAGCAACAGATGTCAAATTTTAAAGGAATTAGACAAGATGCTAATACAACTTCATCTGATATATTGATTTTATTTTTCAACTCTGTAACACTTTGGATAAAAGTACTCTTGTGAAAGGAATATTTACTAAATTTAACCAACAAATTTAAACATTTTATTAAAAATAAAATAAGATGCGTATCTACTGAGTTCGTTTTTGTAAGGATGTTTTTACATTATTCTGCTATAACTWTGACAGTGACCTGAAATTGTGTTTTACTACAAAAGCATTTTATCAAATACATTTTTCAGTCATCTTCCTGTAAAAACAGATATTTGAGACAATAAAGGACAAACCTTTCTTCCTCTTCGTGGACACTCAGACACTCCTTTGCAGAGTCATCATATCTGTGAACAGAGAATTTATAAGGGGGGAATTAAACAGCTAAAAAAATTCAGATAAAAGTAGAGCACACACTGAAGTACTACACATTTTTTTAAGTTTGTGTGACATAAAATTAAAACATAAACTGTTATAAAAGCACTTCAGGTGTAAATTACTTCTTCTGAACATGTAGGAAATTAGTAATGAGCAGAGGGGGAAAAAATGTCATCACACAATGTAAATACTGCTGAAGTTTCCAAATCCAAGATATTATAAAGAAACATTACCTTACCTTGAGAGTTGGGTTGGTGATGAGTTTAGAGGTAAACAACTTGTGTGATAACTAAAGAAAACATAAACAACATCAATATCAGTGGGGTCTTAAAACCTTAATAGGTATAAGTTCTAAGAATATAGTATATAGTTTTCACTAAGACCTGTGGGACACTGTTTACATTTCAAATTGAACAAATAAAACAAAACAAAATCATTTTTTTCTAATTGTTAGTTTAAAAACTCTACATAGCTGACTTGGAGTCTATACTGACTAGTTTGTTTTATTCTGTCTTTTGGGAAAGCTATTGTTTTTTTAATAACAAATATCTGTATTTGACTTTGCTTACTTTTTCAGGTTTAATTAATTATTAATGCACTTGTATATACAGTTAGTTATATTGAAATATCCAACAAGCTGTCACCATGCTTAGGTTTCCTCCTTAGAAGATGTCAAAACATGCGAATTGGCAGTGCTTTTAGTTTGAAATTGTGTTTTTAACACAATTCCTGTATCATTAATTGATCTGGGGGTTGGTCAAACTCATCAGGGTTTTTGAGAAGATAGATGGTGTTAGAAAGCAGCAAATATCTCTATTATATACGTTTACAACTAGATTAAGAATTTCTCGGCACAACTAAGGTAAACCTCTGATTTAATGTTTCAAAAAAAAACCTGCATAACCTTAAACTGGACTTCGTTAGCAGCGCTAACAAGCTAACATTAGCATAACAATAATCAAAACAGATGACAGGTGGTAGGCGACAGGATGCTGCTGTAACCCGGCTGGAACCGTGAACGTTTTACTTATCGCCTTGGAAGAAGACACCTCGGAGATAAAGTAGCATAAATTACCAGTCCAGCAGAAATATGGCAAGCTGTGCATCATTTCTGAATCCTTTCTGTTCCCGTAGCTCTCTCCATCTCGGGAAAGCAGCTCCGATGTTTACTCTGGTGGTTCTAGTTCGGGCTTGGTCCACAGCTTTCTTTAGAGTTCTCTGTTCGAGGAGGGGTTTCCTATCTTTATSGGATACTTTTGGCGCAAGTGTTGTGTTCAACAAAAGACGTGGACGTTCTTCTTTTAATCCTGGAGTTTGGCTTTCGGCCATTGCAGCCCGATCCGAAGTATTAKACCACTGCTAGACAGCCATCAGTCCAAATAAATAGAAAAACGCTATGCAAGAAGTCTCCTTCCCCCAAAGTCTCGCGAGACTTGGTTGATGCCAAATAGAGAAACTCTACGCAAGAAGTCTCCTTCCCCAAATCTCGCGAGACTTGGTCGATGCGCGCTGACATCATATGTACGTAAATATACATGTATGTACAAATACGTGTAAAATCCAGTTATTCCGGAGATAAATCCAAATTTTTCGTTTATTTTGCAGTTAAAAATCAAAGATTGAAAAGTCTTGCTTGTGTTGATACATATGGAAGCCCATTTCCGCCACCCTGATAAAAAATAAATAAAACTTGTATCTCATAATTATGAGATAGTATCTCGTAATTATGAGATACAAGTTTTATTTTTTTTATCAGTGTGGCGGAAATGGGCTTCCATATTACACACTCTTGCAGTTATTCCAAAAAGAAATTATTTAATTTTGTATTTATTTCTCAATTGAAAGCCAAAGGCAGTGTCTTTGTGTTTTTCCAGGTTCTTGCAGACAAACAACTTCTGAAAAAAATTCAAGTTTGAATAAACTGTGACAAGGTTGTACAAATCTACTTCCTAATAGTGAGATGGGTTTTAAAATTGTGTGTACAAATTGTGAGATACATAAAACACTGAGAAACCCAGTGCAAAAATGGTAAATGGTCTGAACTTATATAGTGCTTTATCAATCCCCCAAATTGCTTTACACTTGCAGGCAGTCATTCACAGACACACACACACACACACACACACACACACACACACACACACACACAC